GTCTGTCTGTCTGTCTGCTGGGCTGTCTCCGCTGTCCTGCACCTGCAGCAGGCTGACCGCCTCACAGACAAACTGGCGCACACCCCACACCAGCACTGGGAGAGACCGGGAGGGCTGGCCAAGATCCAGGAAAAAAAAAATCAAACTTCTAATTATTGCATTTCCTTTCAGGAGTATTGCAAGATAATGCCTTCTCACATTTGAAAAAATATTCAAAAGATCTAAGACCCTCACATCCGGGCCAGTCAGTGCACGGCCCCTTCTGCTTCACTACGTTGTAGAGCTCCAAGACAAGCGCAGCTCATTTCAGCTGTTCTGTCACTTCCAATATCAATTAAACAATCAAGGAGCTTGCTCCAGCCACTCCCACCCCACAGTGACCTGGAGGGGCCCTGTATTGCCGTTAGCTCTGCTCTCGATTGTCACACACTCAACTCATTTGTCTGGTCATGGGATTTCAACTCCGCGCCTGTCACCACAGGGGGGCGCTGCTTTCCATTACATGTTGATATGACAACACAGAGTGAAGGTCCACTGCAGATTCTTCATCTCTCCCACCCCAGGAATGGTGCCAGCCCAGCCCCTCTTCATTAGAGCTCAATCAACGGGCTCATCTGTCAGCAGCACCGGAACCTGGGTGGACAGAACCAACACCACCAGTCCATGGGGATCTGAAGGGTCTGGGCTGGATCCTCACTTCGCCTTCCAGCAGGTCCGTCAGTACATACAGCGTCAAAGCGCTAGTCATCTAATGTCCACTAGGGCGGCGAGAAACACCACTCGCAAATACACTGCAAACACTGACTCACTGATGAGCAAACACACCGAAAACGAAAGCACTTGGGAATTTAGGTACTAGACATTTATATACGGACACCCGTTGGCTCAACAGCAGCAAGGCTTATCGTATCCCATCAGGACAGCCTCAAGCAGGCAGAAGGCTCCCAGTGGGCAGCGCAGGGCTGCTGTGTGCTTCAAGACTCGGGGAAGAGCTGTGTGGTCAGCCAGACCCTGGACAAGCCCCCCTGAAAGCCCTGGGCGAGTTGTGCTGGTTTCTGTGCTCTGAACAGCGCCTCAGTTCAGACAGCATCTTTAATTGCTTCATTCAACTGAATTGCTCGAAACCCGATGACAGAAGGTGGGGGGGTCATTCGGATCAGTGGCAGGGCGCCGAGAGTGGCCCCGGCCCAAAGCGCCTGGGTGTCTCTCAAACCCCAGGGCGATCGGGGCTCAGACTGGGAAGAAGGGCTTGCCAGTGGGTCACCGAGGGCGCAGAGGACAGGGGCAGGAGGGGCAGGAGGAGCCCAGCTCACTGTGCTACGGACTGCGGACCCAGGCCAGACGGCGCCCCCTACTGGCTGTCCCCCACCAGAACCACTGCAGAGCTGCAGGAGGCTCCGACTGATTTTAAATGACAATGTTAACGAAGCCCCCAGTGCTGTCCGGAATATAGCCTCCTCTGCCCCTCTGGCACGATTTAAGGAATCTGCCCGGACCAGGCAGCAGGCTGGCACCAGGCTGGTTCAGGGGCTGCCAGCTGAACCCAGTTAACAGCCTGGGAGGAAGGAAGCTCACACCTGGGAGCCCAGAGCAGGAACACCGCAGCCAGATAAAAAAACCACCACCGACACGGTTTCGGTCACAGGTCCAGTGCAATCCCACTGGCAGGATTGGAATCCGCCCCCCCACCCACCCAATTTGCTCACTCCCAGACCAAGACCAGACCAACGCAGTTGTGCACTGACCTGCCCACCTGCAGGAAACCCCCAGACCCGCGCAGTGGGGGTGTGTCCTAGTCTGTGGCTGAGCGCCCAATGACCTGACCTCAGGCTGGCATCGCTGCAGTGCAGTGTGGGAAAGAGCGGAGCTGCGAGATCACGTCAGAGAGTGTCCCCCCCAACGCACAGGGCAGGAAGTGGTCTGCTCCTGCACCTGCCCTGCCCTGCCCCCCTCTCCCCCACCCTCTCTAGCTGCCCTCGTCCACAAGCTTGGCGCCGTTGATGCCCCTGTAGGTGACCCGGCTGGGCCGCACCAGTACTCCGTGACCGGGCCGGCAGCTGAAGTAGCGCCGGTCTCCCACCGAGCCGTCGTTCTTGCCCTTGGGGGCGCGCAGCTCCAGGCCCAGCCACAGCCCGGGGGCGAAGTCCGCGGGCCCCAGGTAGCGCACGGTGCCCATCTCGTTGGCGCTGGTCAGGAGGACCGTCATGCCCAGGTGCAGCTTGACGGCGCCATCCGAGCCGGGGGTCCCCGCGCCGGCGCCCCCGGCTGCCTTGCCAGTGCTGGCGGTGCTCCAGCTGCGCCGCAGGCCCGGCGGGCGGGTCCTGGTGGGACAGACAGGGAACCCGGGTCAGAACCGGCACCGCACAGCTGCACAGCCTCATTACAAAGACCAGCTTCCCACAATGCACTGCAGGTGCCCTACAACACCTCCAAACTGCCCCACATGCTTCGCCGTGAGCATCTGAGTCAGGCCCCACTTGAACTGAACTTTGCCAGTCACACAGTTTGCCAGTATACAGGACACAGAAACACAGGCAGCAGACACAGGGAAACTCAAAACAGCGCAGTTTCCCAGCAGCACTTTCAAACTGTCCTATGCAAAGTATCAGTTTTCACCATGAGCGTCTGTGTCAGGCCCTACATGATATCAGAGGCCGAGGTTTGCCTCTCCAGGCAGGTCAGATCCTGACAGGACACATATGCACAGGCAGCAGAGACAGCAGACGGGATCAGATATCCAGCGCCTTGCAGAAGACTATCTGAAAGGGATCTCCCTGGAAGGGCAGGACACTTCGGCAAGGTGGTGAGCACGCGGGATAGGGAGTCTCGGAGAGGAAACACGACGCAGAGGACATGCAACGAAGCAGCCGCCCTCGGCACTGTGAAACAGCAAGGGCTACTCCTTCCTATGACTCATGCAGACGTGTACGTGCAGAGAGACAAAACACACCCACACGAGGACAGACAAGGGCGCAGCTGAGCTCTGGTCACCTGCTGACCGGGCTCCTGCGGCTGGCCTCCCTCTGGGCAGTGAGGGCGGACGAGGTGCTCAGGCTCCGGCGCATTCCTGGGAGACAGACAGGAGCAGAGACAGGGCAGGAGTTAGTCTTTATGCAGGAGCTGTGGCCTGACCAGGTCTGTTATTCTGCGCCAGTGTTAAGCGTCTTTCTGGTGGCGTCAGGTGCTGGCAGGTATGGCAGGGTGGGACGACAGACAGCAGGTGCTCAGACAGCCTCACCTGGGAAGGTGTGGTTGAGCCGAGCAGCCGAGAGCTCCGACAGGGAGTCCAGAGAGCCGTGGATCCTGTGAATAGCAGACAGCACTGTCACC